TACTACCTTGCATACAAAAGTCGGTCAAATCGGCTTGAGTAGCAACTCTTATTACAGTCTCTATGTTAAAGGGTCACGCACGTGCGAGTACTCGCACTTATACGCGCACCATGCGATCGTAGTGCAGGCATTTTGTTGGAGCATATATAAAGTATGGGATATATATAAAGATATATCGTATAGCACTTTATCGATAAAATAGCGATCTGGTCGGAGATTAGGCTTCACTTTAGGATCCCCTTGAGAAAATTTGAAGATAAGAAAATTTTCTAATAAGTTTCAAACGCATTACGTCTATTAATGAAATATCAATTTCAATATTTTCCTATTGCATACAATTTAAAGCACGGTAGATTTGCAAGAAAACATATGAATGTAAGAGAAAAATGGTGTCGTGTATTGCTTATTACAAGAGCAGGAAAATGATTTGGAAGCCAAGAAATTAGTATTCATTGAATACGCGCGATCGTTATATTGTATTTTTCAATTTAGTCGAAACTGCAGAATAGTTGTGCCGAGCATTTATAATGTGTACCTGACGCGCGAAGGAGAGAACGTCGCGGAGTAAATTCGATCCGCATCGTACGAGGCTTTAATTAGCATAATGTAGCTTGCAACCTCGTGGTAAGCGCGATAAGTTGTCAGCGATAAGAATAACAACCACGTGTCGGCGTTACGCCGAGAACGATCTTAACATATGGTTTTTATGCATGTAATCTTAGGTACATGTCCAAAATACGCTTATAAGGATGTTAGCGTGCTAACAAGTCATTCTGTAGGTCTGTTTTCTGTGGCTGAACTAGTAGTGTATACTTTTGGAACATAAAGTGAGAAAGGTGTATGGTTGATATTTTGTCGAAAGCGAGAAAAAGAGTTTTAGTGCAGTCTACTATAGAAAATAGATCACATATTACCCAGAGGGCACAAAATCGTCTAAAAGATGACTAAAATATGACTAAATTGTTATAAAGACTAAATTGTTATAAAGATATCTTTTAGTGAACAACTATACTCGTAGTTGACGAAAAGATGACAGATGTTGCACTGCTAATCACATCTTTATAGCCTTATCCATACAATAACTAAAAGATGACTTCTGTAGATATCTTTTAGTCGCCTTTAAGATTTTTTTTAGTTTTTATATTTTCGCATATATAACGTTTAATAACACATCAGGTCCCTGAATTAACCTTTACACAAAACTAAACGAAATTATATGACTTTCAATATACATTCAATATACATTTATGAAGTTTGCCATATCTTGTGTGCAAAAGCCATTATCTTTCATCATAGTCCTCTTTAGGAATCCTTTCAAAAAATATTTTATTAATGTTCATTAGAACTCACGGGTAAAATTTCTCATAATGTTTCACCTTTTATTCCATTATGTATGACTTTCAAACACGAGAAACTGAATTCCACATCCTTTTGGTGGCGATTTTACTGCTCGCGAATGAGTGATGAAAAGCGGGGTTGGTAAAAATCATGTTTTAAACATGTTTTAAACGGTTTAAAACATGCTAAATTGATGTTTTTAATATGTTTTAAATATGTTTTTTTTAATAGTATTATTTAAAACATATTTGAAGCATTAAAAATATATTTAAGAAGACACAGTATGTTTTATTCTAAAAAAAAAAACATTAGTTTTTTTTACCAACCCTGATTGAAAAGTACCAAAATAACGGAAAGATGTCTTTTTCATGTTGTCTTTTTGGTAATACGAAAAAATATCTTTCAGTCGACTTTTCGCATTGCAAAAAGACAATCATAGAAAAATAACAAAAAGATGTCTTTTTTTAAGTTGTCTTTTCGAGAAAACTAAAAGACATCTTATAGACATCTTTTCGCCTTATCGAAATAACAACTTAAAAACAATATCTTTTTGATATTTTTTCGCTTTATCGAAAAGACAACTTAAAGAAGACATTTTTTTCTATCTTTTAGTATTTTGTGTTATCTTGGATATGCAGGAAATGAGAAGTTATTTTTTAAAAGTAACTATCCAGATAACAAAAAGTATCTAAAATCGGGTCATAAGACGTTTTTTGCGTCTAAAAGACGACTTAAAAATGTCTTATGTCATAATTTTAAACTTTGTGTTGTTTGGGTAGTTATCGTTACTCGCTATCGAGTTAAAAAAGTAATTAGTTACCGTTACTAATTACTAATACTCAAAGTAACTTGTTACTGCTACTGCTCGTTTCAAACTATAATTTTGTACATACATAATAATATTTTAAAGTGAATTTATATAGGGTGGCCCATCGAAACAGACTGAATATCTCCTATAAAAATTATTTTTTGAAAAAAAAAACCATAAAAATACATCAATTTTTATTTGGAGGGGGACGTCTTTCGATGTATAATATTTACCCTCAACTTTAACCCTCTAAACGGAGGTGTCAATCTTTAAAAAATTTCAAATGGAAAGAGGGATCAAATAATACATTAGAATTAGAAGCATTAGAAAGGTTTTAATTCCTTACATTCCTACGTTTGATTTTTTAAATTCGGTCAATTCGTTCAGAAGATACAAGATGTTAAATCTAAAATCATGTAAGTTAGCTTACATGACACACAACGTAGTAATTGTTTGAAATTTTGACATCCAAAGTTTTGTGTGAATTTTAATCGTTAGTTCTACTATGCTCTAATGTTTTGACTTTTACCTTTTGTATTCTTAATATTAGCAACCTATGAAGTCTATAACGCCAAATGAATTCGTTCGACAAAACCAAAAGCTACGTGTTAAACATCATAAATCTTTTTCTCTCTCCCTCTTTCTTTCGCTTTCTCTCTCTCTCTCTCTCTCCTTCTCTCTCTCTTTCCTCCAGCCTTACTTTTCCCTCACTCTTTTACTCTCTCTCTTTTCCTCGGTGAAGAGACGCATTTTACGATTTAATTGAATTTTATGAAAGAGCTTTTCACTTTGAGGCCTTCCAGAACATCTACAATTTTCCATAATGTACCGGGATGATAAGCAAAGCGAAGGGAAATGAAATTTTGAATACACTGTAAAACGCTGAAAAACGGAAAATTTTATAGATTTAATTTCGCTCTAAAACCAAACGCTGCCAACGTCAACGGTATAGCTTCGATCGTTCCGTAGTAAAATCACGTTTCTCGACACGCATTGTTACTTACTATAACGCAAACTGTAATAACTAACGAGTTGTGTGTCAAGAGTATAATATAACAATAAAGTTGACAAAGTTAATAAAGTTTCGATCTCCTTTAAACAAATGATTGACGATCAATGAACAAAGAAATAATTGTTGTTCAGAAATAGCGAAATCTAATAAGTTAATTTATAATCTCAATTGCAAAAATCGCAAAATAAAATTTATAAAATTTTTAAACATAAGATAGAACAAATATTAGCAAAAATAAAAAATTCACTCTGTTACTCTATCAAGCATAAATTGCTGTAATTCAAATTTCATGAATTATAATACCATCTTGTATACTGTATAGTTAATGTATAATACATACATGGCATTAGAATTTTACAAAAAATAATAATTGTATTCTTGTTTAATTACTATTTTCTTAATTATAAAATGAACTAAAATAAGAAAGCGCTGAACACAATCGAGATTAGATATCGATGCCTAAAAATACTTACGTTGCAAATTCTATTACATAATTGAACAGTTTATATTAGGGATGTACCGGATATTCGGAAAAATATCCGATATTATCCGGTACTTTTTTATTATCCAAATAGCCAGATATTATATTAATATCCGGCTATATCCGAATATTGAAAGTTTATATTGAAAATTTACGTCATTGATGCAGATTTATTCTATTTTTTCAGCTGAACTTCTTGCACAGTTTATAGTTTTGCACAGTTATAGTCGTTTATGCCAATAATCGAAATAGATTGTCATCGGAAAATATTGAAATGTCATTGTCCATCGTGAAAAATTTATTAATATTTTTTATGACTAAGCAATATATATTGCAACTGTACTTCAAACAACCCGTTCTACAGTCGGTCAGTTATTATTGCTGGAATAATGATATAATGAAAAGCTACGTAATATATCGATCGCGGATGGTGCATTCAGGATCAATCTTGCAAGTCTTACAAAGGACGGATATTAATATTAAACGAAGCAATTAAAAACAGTAATGTTTTAACTCTTATTAAAACTTTCCTAAAGTTTCCATTATCAAAACTACAGTTAAATAACAATTGAACTGTCAAATTAATTTTTTATGGTTTTAAAAGGGGTCCTAAAGGAAAACTTGAATTCCGACGGGACTACTGTTTTACTGATGAAATGCGATCGACATGGACATCTTTATATACTACTACATCAATATCTCTCACATACATGTTCATAAATTTTCGTAGAATAATAGCGTTTTAATTAGAAGTCTGAGTCTAATTCCAAAAACTTCACGTTGTCTATTCGTGTAAACTACTAGTCTGTGGACCACAATTTCGTGAGCACAGATTGCAATGCTTTTACATTAAGCAATTGCTATTACGATGTTGACAGCTCTAACGTCATATTGGACTAAAAAATGAGATCTCAATTTAAACAACTTTTTTCGTTCGTGGCGTAAACTTCACCTCACAAACATGTATTAATGGGTATATTTTAATCCTGGAAGAGGATTTTTGAATCTATAAAAGAAAAAAAAGTAATTATTATACAAAGATTTTTGCTTTTAATCGGCAAGACAGACGACTTTATGATCTCCTTAATTATCAATATTGCCCTCAATTATTCATATTTTGTGAATTTTCGCGGCCGATTTTATTCGTCAAGGAAGCATTAAAAACGTGCTAAAAATAAATTTATGTATGTTTATTCATTTTCCACGACGTTTGAATTTTATGTAATTTTCGGCAGTCCAAACTTTTCTACTCTTCTTAATAACGAAAGCAACTTTCCCGTGGCAGCTTTGTCATTTAGAATGGCAATATGTTGTTTATACAAGGCCTGTGGCTACAATTAAAAAGTTTTCTTTGCTTACAGTTACAGCCTGGACTGAATACGCTGCAGCAGAATGAATATGGGGGATTGGCGAATCTCTTGGCAAGATACATGGAAGATCAAAGTAAGTTTAAAAAAAAATTATAATTTGTTTACATTCGTTATATTATTATGGTAAAAAGAAAATGTCACAGAAAGAAATGGCAAATATTCACTTTTAGAATGTAAATGATAATTATGAAACTATACTCCAGAAATTATTACAAACAAGTTTTAAAAATCACGTGCGATATAGAATGTATCTATATATTATATATATACATATATAATATATAAAGATATAATTTATTATTTTTCATTCGTACCTTATAATTAAATCATTTTTGCGTTGTTTTAAAGTTTTTTAATTATGTATATAAGACTAACTTTCTTTGTATATAAAATGTATATAAGACTAACACTAAATTTCTTTGGTATCTGTTTTTTTATTTTTTTTCAATAAAGATAACAGGCAGATGGTATTTATAAGTAAAATTAATAAAATTCGAAATAAAAGCACATGAAAATATCTGTAAACATTTTATTTTTAATGCATTGTTGAATACTGTTTATACCGTAATAATAACGAATCAGAATAAATTTGATGAATAAATAATTGAATAAATTTGAATTTATATCTACTGTTCATTATAATATTACGTGACGGAGATCAGTAGATGCGAATTAAAAGAATATAGACATACATATAGATTATCCTATTTTATAGATCATTTGTCATTGGAAATTTTTTGTAAATATAATATATATACAAGTACACGATGAATAATGCAGTAGGTAATTTGTTACTTTAACTTTTATCTTAAGTATATACTGAGGTCTAAGTACATACGTATCGTCTAGTTATAGTAGATTATATGTCGCGAAAGTGAAAACAATGCGTAATCGATACCGCACTAATACTACACATACATTTTTAAACATACTCCTTTGCCCTTTTATACATCACTCCTATCGGAATTGCACGTTAAGAATTTAGTCCGATATGCACGTACGTTGTGCAGCCCCATGGTACTTATTATATATATACTATACACTTTATTTAATTACTTATATCAATCTATTGTATTAACGTAGCGTCTAAAATTGTTTAATTACTTATATCCCAAGATTAAAATTATTTTCAACAAATTAAGCTATAGTAATTAATGCCAAGAAAAAATATTAAGTAAATATGTTTTTACGGAAAAAAAAGTATATTGAAAGAGATAAAACTTTTTAAAAACGAAAAAGAAGTTGGCTATTGTTGAATATCAAATATTATATTTAATTATAGATAAATACAACCTAAATATTTCTTGATTATTGCATATTTAGTACAATATTTCCTAAGAACGAAAAAGAAATTAATCCGTTTCTTTTTCTCTTTCTTTCCCTTTCCGTGAAAGAAATTAATTCGATAAGAAAATAGGAAAATATGAAGTTAAATTAAGTGTATATGTGTCACAGTCAAAGTGTTAACTTTAGTAAATGTATACACCTACTAGTCAATGTATACATTTACATATAGTAAATGTATACATTGACTACAGCAGACTACGGTAAGTGTATACATTTACTGAGTTAACACTTTTATCGTCTCATGGTATACAAAGTAAAACAAGCATATCTTTAGAGGACTTCTTAGTTTATCGATTCCTTACACACTCCCGAAATTTTGACTTTAAGAAGAATTTTAATTCAGGGTACACTATATACATTATATACATTATATACGCCATACGGAGTATACAACAAATTTCTCTAGAATTATTGGGATTGAATAGAATATAATTTTCTCCTTAAAAATTATTATTTATAGATAATATTATTTATTTACTAAATAAAAATTAGATGTTATTTTATAGTTGAAGCATCTTGCAAAATTAAGTTATTAAAATTAAGTAAGAGAATGGAACGTATAGAACAGAATGCATACAAGCAATATTATTTTTATAAAAAACATAGAAGCATGATTTACGACGTTTATTATCGTGCATCCTTTTGATTGCATTTTATGGGTCGATTATAGCATTACAAGCGATTCAAAGGCCATAACTTGCTTCTGCAGAACGCCTACACTTATTTGGAAAACGTAACTGTTAATTGGCCATTTACAACGATTTCATTAACCTTTAACTTCAATCAACTTAAAAAATGTATAAGTAAGAAATATTGGCGCGTGTGAATGTCTCAATAAAATAATCATTTGTGCAATGATTTATAAACGCTGGAATGGAAATTGTTTAAATAGAAAAGACAATTTATGGGCTTTTTTAAGAGATTATTAAAGATGGGAAATTCTTCAGAGAATTAAATATTATATAATAGAATATCAATTTATCGATATATATTGCTTTTTAAGAATTTAGTTTTAATTAATTTTTTAAGTTTACTGTGTTGTCATTTTACACAATGTTCTAATATATTTTTTTACTCAACTGAAGAGACGTAATATGGATCTAAATAATAATTTCAGGTCCACAATAACGTAATATTTTCCACCAGACAATCGTGAATCTAAAAATTTTATTAATATTTGATATATAATTGAGCTTGATGAATTAATGAAACATGTAGTCAGTGGTCTACCATTATTTTAAATTTAATAATTAGCGTAAAAATACATACATTATTATTTTGACCTTTTCGACTTTTATCTTTCTTGTACTGTGTACACGCGTTTATTATTTATTATGTATTTCTATAGAGATTATATCGTGCCATTAATCATTCATTTGGAGTACGTGTGTTCAGCGGTTCCGGAATAATCGTCGTATAAAATAAAAAAGTTCGTGTAATGACTAAACTTATAAACAATATACTTGGGAAATTTGCGAGAAGTCTGCTTAATTTTTACGAAAGAAATTTTGCGTGTGAATATAGAAAATTATCTTGGAAAATTGTCGCACTCGAGAGGTTTATGATGTATATACATCGTTGAGTGCACAAGTTAAAATTGCGTAGGCGACATCGATGGAGGTAAGCGTGATAACAGTTTAGGTGTGAGAATCCTAATGTCGCCTGTTTACGCATGACACGTCGTTGCATGGTTTTATTGCACTCATGTGCAAATCTTATGCACTCATGTGCAAATCTTATGCACTCATGTGCAAATCTTATTCAATCTCTGCAATTTTTATTCAGGCTTTTATTTCGCGATTAAGTTCGCTTCACGCAGTTCTTCGACGACTTCGATAGCACGCATGAATTTTATATGTGTTATTTTATATAGATAGTGTAAAGAAAACAGAAAAATTAGTATATATATATTTTTTAAATAGCGACTAAAAATTGTCACCAAATTATCACCCATCTATGCCATGCACTTTAAATTATTGCTTTACTTTACTTTTATCATTATCTCACATTTATCTTTACTTTATCTTGATTCCTATTTTTATTAGGTGAGTGCTAGGAGAAAATGTTTTTTATTGACTATAAAGAGTCGTGACTATAAAAATATCGTTTATAAATACAAATATTTGATCTCACTCTGCGTACACATGATGTGCACGCAGGGTGAGATCAAATGTTAATTTTTCGATAAGTAATAATTTATATTTTATGCATGGCATAGATATAGAGAATCACAAATAAAAAATGAATTGCAAATTAACACTGCGAATAAGCAAAAAAAATTAAGATTGAAACTACTGAAGCATGTATCGTAATTTCAATGAATTTAGATTTTGATACAAAATTAATGCTTCCATATTTATTATACTCTGCATGTTTACTATTAATTTATTCAGTCCAATGCAAATGCGATATGAATATTTCGATTGTAATTAACAATGTAATAAATATTCGATGAAAATATCAAATTTCATCCTTCTATAAAAAACCACAGTAATTCCTTTTTTTCATCATTGTAGGGATTAAGCAGAGCCCGAAGCGAAACTTGGATCAGATTGGTGGCGGACATCTCGTAAGGGATACAAACAAGCAATTTGAAAGTTTATTAAACGAAGAAGAGAATCGTTTGATAGAATGTTTAAATTCCGCCGGTGACAAGCAAATACTTGATACACTCTGCCGAGAGGAACTTTTTACCGATCGATTTCGTAATGGAAATCTCATTAATTCTTCAATCAATTTTGTAGCGTTTGAAGATACAATAAATCATCCATTAAACAGCCCTGATTTTAATGCCGATCAAGCAAATAATCAGTTATTTATGGATCAATTTATTAATGGCGATGTTTCAAACAACGCAGAGAGTGATAGACGAATTGTTAAAAATCTGGATCGGATCAGTGGCGGGCATCTCGTAAGAAATCTAGATCAAATCGGTGGCGGGCATTTGGTTAGAAGCATCGACTATCCAAACGCAGGAATAAAACAGCGCATTGATCAGCCGACAAGCATTTCAGAGAAGCTGCACTTCACGAGAAATCTGGATCATATCGGAGGCGGAAATCTTGTGAGAAATTTAAATCAGATTGGAGGCAGAAATCTTGTGCGAAACTTGGATCCAATTGGCGGCGGAAATCTTGTAAGAAGCTTTAATTGATTTTGCAGCAATGTCTAATCATGGTGGATGAATCAGTACAAGAAGAGGAAAGAGAATGGCTTAGAAGTGATTGTATTTAGAATGGAGAAAAGCTTTTATATTGATTTTGAATATTGCACGTGATTTCTTTTAAATTATAATTACCTGATATGTTATATATGTTCTATGTAAAGAATCAGGATCAGAAAATTGTATTTAATAAACATGCAACTAGAATACGCAGTTTTGATTTAATTAAAATTAAATCCATCGCACACATATAATAAACGACAAAATTAAACTAATAAGAAAGAGCATATGAAAAAAATGTGTAAGTATAATTAAAATATTGGATTATTAATATGTATATCAGAACAAAAGTTCGGAGTGTTATTTTATTTGTATTACGTTTATATGTTAAAAAGAATTGGCAATTGTATTATTTAATAGAGAAAAGTTTCAGTCTTAAGAATCTGTTTTTTTAATTGTGATATGACTTTTAATGAAGTTACGAGCGTTCAAAGTTAAAATACTCTTTTCATTCAATTTGAACCCAATCAAAATCTTAGAAACAGTTTTAAAAACTAATTTTGTAGGGAA